GGTCGCTTTGATTTTCCGCCCTCTAATCCGCTCTGCCGTGCCTTTTCTTCCCATAACACCATATTCCAACGTCTCGTCCAGTGACTTGCCCATGACTCCCCCTGAATCGCCCGTCAGGCAGTCCATCGTCGCAGCTGAACAGAACGATGCCATGGACGTCATATCCGAGCCAGACATGCTTCCATCGTCCGCCTTTGGTCGAGAGGGTGGCATGTCTGATAAAATTTCTTGTAACGAACAGTCGTCATGGTGGGAACAAGGCGAGAAACCGGTCTTTGGAAGCGGGAGCACGCTATCCGGATCTTATTCGACAAAACCCAAGAAACATGCTCGATCAAGTAGTAGCGGTTACTTTTGGACCAAGAAAGAAAACGATGGAGAGCGAAAGAGTGTGCTCGGTAAACTGACTGGATTTGTGCGAGGAAAAACTTAAAAGTGTGTGTGTGTGTGAGAGTGGCGTGTGCGTGTGAGAGAGTGGCATGTACGATTATGTGCGCATCTGAAAATGGGGGAGATTGTTCGAACATTTATTCTTTCATTACCAAAAAAAAAATAGGCTGGTTTGTACAAACATTTCAACAGACATTTGCTTTCTCATTGCTATTGTATATGAATAGATGTATCTATCATCCGTTATGTTTATCTTGTCAAATTCATGTTTTTTTCTTATCTGTTCTTCCTTTTTTTTTTCCGAAGAATAGAGGATGATTGTAAAGATTTTCTTCTTTTTGTTTTTCTTTTGTTTTGTTTTCTGTTTCCTTTGCCTTTGAAGATGTATATAGTCTCTTTTGTGTTTATTTCTTTTATGTATCATTTTTTTTGTAACCCTACCCCAAATCTTTTTTTTTTCCCTGGCTTGCTTTTTATGTGTTTTTATCTTTTCCATTTCTCTTTTCGTTTTTTCAAAAAGTCTCATCATTTTTCAAACTCGGGCAGAGGCTATGAAAAGTAGACGTCTGGGTTTTAAAAGTGATGGGAAACTTGTCCACTCTCACTGTACAGTTGTTCGATTTTACAAATTTTTTCGTATATTTGAGATTTATCCTTTATTATCTCGTTGATATAAAAATTTTACACATTGTGCAATTAAATCGTGCGATTACATTGAAATTGGCTCTTACATAAAAACCCACCCACGTAAATAAAGTCAACGACGTTTGCATGCGAAAATCAAAGTGCTTGACGCTTTTCTTGATAGATTCTGAGACATCGCACTGCACACGGGAGTGTTTCGGAATGTGAACTTTACATGATGATTATACGTTATCACATACAGCATATAACACAACATGATGTGCTGGCATTTTAATACTTTCAGATTGGGCAAGATTACAATAACTGATCCCAAGGATCATATCCTCGCCTCGCAAAGTCTTCCCGTTTCTTCATTGTCTAAATTAGGATTGATGTGTAGAAAAGGGAGGTCAAGTGATCATTGTATTACTATAATTAAAAATATTAACGAAATACTACTTGTCCATTTAAAACATCAGCAGACCCTCATATTTTCGCTTATCTAAATCTTTCCTTTTTGAGATTGTTTGTTTGCGTGAGACAAGAGAAAAACTTGTTTGTCAACTTACGAAAACATCGACATTTCCACAATCAACAGCGGATAATTGCCTCGTTATTAATTGTAAATCGGAACGAGTTGCAGACTTTTTTTTTCCCTCACACAATTATTAATTATGGAGGGTCAGTTGTTGGGCTAACAACGCAAAGTCATCTGCTAAACGTCTGTCTTGGATTCACTTCCTCATTCCTCTAGGCACGTTTACTTTGCCACAATGCGCATCTTATTGTTTGCTCGTATCATCTAGTTATCGAAATCCCGGCGAGGAA